ATAAGAACAAATTACGGACAAAGCTGTACCTCTTCCTGGAATACCCCGCCCCTATACAGGTGGTGGAACTCCCCCACTCCCTCTTACTGTGTGTATAACTACCCTGAGCTTGCCTTCAATAAACGAGACTTGATCAGAAAGCCTGTCTTGTCTCCATTTCCCGTGTCCCCTGCTCCCCTTCTTCTTTTACAGGTCCGGACCTCCGTTGATGTCCCGCGGGACGGGACAATTAAACATTCACTTTTTAAACTCTTCTGTTTTATCTCATTATCTTCTTTTTTTTAAAAAAATCTTATGGATAGGCATCCTTAATTATTTCAGTACATATAAGGGTACAATAAATATATCAAGAGCACCTAGTAATATTTTATTATAAGTAGTCGACTATATTTCTAACCTTTTTGGTTTATGGACTACTTAAGCAGGTAAAAAGATCACACATATCACCTCCTCTTCCACATTTACCTGTGCAAAAAAAGAATCCCCTCTAAATTTATGGAAAGACTGGCTTGGCTTTGGCCTTTTAAAATATACCAATAACGTAATAGATATCTTTTTTAAAAAGTCAAACATCCTAAGTGCAGAATTAATTCATGTCTGAAACAAAAGCATGTGATACAAGCATCAATTCCCCAAGAGACCAGTCTACCAAACATCAACGACCCTTGAACCACAGTTTCAGAATTGAAATAACTATCCTTCTATTATAGCATTACCCAATTCTTTTGACTTTTCTTCAAGTGAATCTTGTGTGATACAGCAAGAAATGATCAATACACATAATGCAAAGCAAACTATGTATGTGACAGAAAGATTCACACAGGTTCATCTGAATTCATATTATATAAAAACATGCCACTAATCTAAGAATGATCCATGATGATATTTTTCTTCATAAGCAAAAACAGGACTTCTAGATCAGAAATGGTACTGGAAAAATATAGATTCTAAGACATTACCCATTTTGTTTTCACTCACAAAGAGACAAATATCATAAAGTACATTTTGAAATACCTCACCCTTTGTGAAGGTGAAAATCTTTGATTATAATGTGATACAGAGATATTTGGAATCTTGGTTAGTAAAGAAAGCAAAGCTCTACTTAAAAATGCAGTGTTTGCACAAGGAAAAACCAGGAAATTAGAAAAAGAATTATTAATTTCTTAACACCAAATTTTGTTAGCTAAGCAAGGCATTTAGAATATCTGAGCCCCAAGTTATTCTTAATGTTATATCATCAAAGTGTCAAATTGCAGGATAACAAAAGACAAATTGAGAAACCTGAGTTCTAGTATTCCATTTTTATTATATAGATCTTATAATGGAAGATTGCATATAAATTGCTATTCTGTTGTGCTATTTTATCTATTTTTGTGATATTATATGGCTATGTATCATAGAATACCAAAATGTCTAAAGAATCAAAATTGTGGATGACCCAAAAGGCAACAGAGAGATGTATGATATGGTATGTTTAAGTAGGCTGTAGTATAATGCTAACAATGATTTACTTTTGAGAATGACCAAAAAAAAAAAAGATATCCTGGGAATGCAAGATCAGCAAAGGAGGTGTGTCAGTCAAGCAGAAAAAGCAATGAATAAACAAATTAACAGCTTAAGTGCTACATTAAGACCAAAAGGAAGGCCTCCTCTATGGAGCTTTTATGGAAAGGTATTGACATGATCCATAGAAGACAAAAACCTGTTTGGATAGCTATCTACACTGATAGGAAGAAGCACCATTATATGTGCAATAACATAG